GGAGAAGTGACCTAACATATAATTTTGGTTTTTTTTTTTTTTTTTTTTTTTTTTTTTTTTTTTTTTTTTTGACAGGATATAATTTGGGCATATATATATAAAGGGGAGTTTTTCCTCGAGTTTTTAAAGAGGCATGTAGGATTTAATTTTTCAGTGCGCCATGTAAAATAATAAATTTTAGTGGTAGCCAATTAAATACGAGATTATTAATTTCTTTTAGAATTACCCCCTCCGTCCCCGAAAGAATGACCCTTTTGGGTTGATTTCGTGGGTATTAATAAAGTTAAATAAAAAGAAGTAAAAATTATATTGGAAAGATAAATTTACACGGGGTTTATAAAAAAGTAGAAAAAGATAGTAATAAAAGTACATTGAAAAATTAATTTTATATGGAAAAGCTAATTTTGCACAAATATAGTTGCAAATTGGTGAGTATTTTAATGCCAATGGGTCATTCTTTTTGGGACTAAAATTAGGTTAAATGAGTCGTTCTTTCGGAGACGGAGGGAGGAAATAATTTAAATGACACTAAATTAATTAAATATAAAATATTATATGTATAAAAAAATTATTTTAAAACATTCAGACAAACATCTAGTATAAGTTATAATAATAAACTGAAAAAACCAAATTTGGGAAAGACACGAGAGAAAGAAAAGAAAAATAAAGTGGGGAAAAATGCAGAGTATTCGCTTCCTTATCTCTTTCTTCATCACCGTTTTGATAACGTTGGTGGATGAAACAGTTGATGTTGGCGCCAAATTGTATAACCGTTATGATTTCCCGCCCGATTTCATCTTGGGTGCTGGAAGGCCTGGAACTTTGTCTTATCAGGTTCACTGCTTTTTCTGCCTCAATTATACTCAACTATGAATTAAATTATTCTTGCTCTCTTTTATAATAATATTTTTTAGTTGAAATTGGGAAAGCACCAATTAATAACAGAGACAACAAGGGCCTTTTTAGTTCAACTTAATTTTAGTTCAGTTAGTTCAGCTCAGTTCCTAACTTCCTTCTCTCATAAAAAATTCATTTCAATTTAGTTTAGTCTCATTCAGTTCAATTCAATAAATCGGAACAAGCCCTAAAAAATGTGATTGTGCAAGCAACTTAAGTGTTAATGACATGATTTTAGAGTAGGAACATATATGATAAATCTACCCTTCAATTGGATTTAATAGTATATAGAAATAACATGTAAGACTAATTCAAGATATCGAAGAGCAATATAGTAGATATTAAATTTTGTATTTGGTCCTACTGAATACAAATCAGGCCGATTTGAGGATGCAAATGGAGACATAGCAGCTGATGAATACCATAATTAAGGTAATGTAGTATATTAGACCCTTTTTACATCTTAACTTGATATTCTTCGGAATGAGATAATAAGTTTTAGAGCTGATAGATGGCTTTTTATGTATGTTGTATTGTTGTTTGTTTAGGAAGATGTTCGGATTAGATGCCTATCGTCTCTCCATATCATGGTCAAGACCTATGTTACTTGAACTCAGGTACCCATGTCCAACATGGGTACGTGTCCAAGCGTCCGACTCAGCTATTTTGTGAAAAATTTACATGATTTTGAACTAAAAGTGAAGTGTCCGGGTGCCATACTCATGTCCAAGTGTCGAGGGTCCGACACCGGTATGTGAGGTGAAATGAAGAGTCCGAGTAACATAAATCAAGACTTATACATGGTGTTATGGGTCATTGTGTTCGACTATTGACCGACGGTTACTGTCAAGACCAAGATGTACAAGACTATGTCAAGACAGTTACCAAAGGTCCCCAAAATCAAGGATAAATAATAAGTCAACAAGAATAAGTGTTCAAGGTTGTTACAACGTATCTACACCCTAGAACAAATCCAAGTTCATTAGAAGACCAAGTAAAGGAATCAACCACTACTCCACCACTTAATAAAGCGGGTGAAAAAATCAAGGAACCACTATGCAACAGCCACCCAAAATATCTCTCCAACCTACTCTTGGAAGTTCTATAAATAGAAGAGTCTTCCTCTCATGAAATCAAGTCACAACCTACGGATACTAGCCTCCCATGCAACTAAATACTATCTATTTTAAGCCTACGTTCTCCCCACTACCTACATACTGCTCTTGCGAGTATATCCATACATGAGCTTAGTCCACATATGGATTCCACTAAAAACCCACGTTACCTCAGTATAATTTGCAGCCTTATTTCCCATATGCCCTCGTAACTATTCTTATTATTTCCTAAACCACTTGTATAATCCACTCACCATCTACTATATTTTATACCCTCTAGAACCTCTATACAAACATCTTTTTACCCACAAATGTGTCTCATACCTCCTAGCCATATTACGAGATTGATACACTCCATTTACTTTGTATTTATCCACGCTGTATTTTATATGGACCAAACACACATTGTACTTGTAATTATTGGTTTTATGCCCGTACTATAGTGGATTGGTGGACTCAATGCCACCCGCGGTTTTTACCCACCTTCATTGGGGTTTTCCGCGTCACCATATCATGTCTCCTCCCTCTCCCTTTATTTTTCTGTCATTTATTTTCTGCATTCCATACTCCCTATTTTAATTTAGTTGACTGTAGCCCATATCCCACATCAAATCCTACTTGAAGAAATTTAGCATAAACAATTTGACGTTTGTGGGGATGCAACTAGATTAAAATCTTATTCTATGAAAGTTCCTCTCCAAACACATTCGAACACATTCCCATCATCAAGATATATCAAATCTCGTAAAGTGACTTTATAAGAATTATTGTTCGTGGTCCCGGCAATGAGAAGTGGTGATCGACGCCAACGTAACTCAATATGCTGCAACAAGGGCGATTATCTTTGACAACCTTAAGAGTTTTGGTAATGTTCCTTCTTGTGGTTTAATTTAACTAACTAATTTTGTGTATTCTTTAAGCTACGTTACGACAGACTATATCATCACTATCGAAGTAAACATCACACTTAAAGGGAAGGATGCCATGGAAAACACCGCTTTAAGTCATGGGTCTCATGTGCCACAAAAATTCAGGGTCTGTCGTCATTCACAATATTATTTTTTGTTTAACTAACATTAGTTTTAGGCTATGTTGTCGCTAAATAAAACAATATTAAAGTTTCGACGAAAGTCAATTTTGACGACGACAAACAGTTCCGACGACAGCCAGTGTCGACGACGACATCAGTCAGTTCCGACGACGAAAGCCAGTTCCAACGACGACAGAAACGACGACAACGACTAGTGTCGACGACAACATCAATCAGTTTCAACGACACCAGTCAATTAACGTCGTCAGCAACCTAGTATCATCAGTTAGTGACGACAACATTAAGACAAATGTTGCTTTAAACGACGATGCAAATAAGCTTTTGCCTAAATGCAAAATTCAGATTTATTACTTGAGACTATTCGATTCTAAAAATAATTTCATTGACTTTTATCTATAATTCATGACATTAGCTTATGTAGCGCTTAGATTTTTATATCTTATGATGACTAATTTATGTTGTACCAAGCGTATTTTTAGATAAAGTAAGGTTACAGGTGGAGATTTATAATGTTAATTGATTGTGTTATTGGAATATTGTCATCAACAAGTTGACGGTAGCATTATATTTTGTGGCTAACTTCATTTCATATTGTTTGCATTTTTTCATGAAGTTGCCACAAGGGGACAAGATACTATGCTCTGATTATCAATCTAACGCTTTGATTAAATTTTGTTATTTGATCCCTGATGCTTCAATACATCATGCTTTGGTTATTATGATTATTTTTACTTAGTTTTTGACGCTTTGATCATTATACTTTGATTAACTGTCGATGATTTGATTATGGTTCATTCTTAATGTAATTATGAATGTTTAATGTTTTTTCGAATACATATGGTGGATAATGTTATTTGTTATTATTTCATGAATAATTAACAACAAGTAGGTATATATGAGAATGCACTTGTAGATAATTCACCAATCTAGAATATGACGTCGGGGACTTAATCTTCCCGAGTGATCCAACATTGGGGGCTTGATTTAAATGACATCAATTCTTATCAAGGTAACTTTCTATATTTAAAATGTATGTCAAATTCCATCAATCTTGTCACAAACCGTGGGAGTCACCGACACTATTGAGGTACACCACATTATCGCTTTTAGTTTTTACATTTACATTGTCATGATCATGCACTTTAATGTGTTGCCTAGCTTGAAGTATTTATTTATGTTTCCATTGATCACCTTCATTAACGTATTATTGATTTGATTCCCTAATTAGCATTGTCATTGACATGATTCTACCGCCTTAAAGTTATGTCTATCATCTTTGTTGACGTAGTAATACACATAGTTAATTTATGTTTTCATTATTTGGCCTATTTATTATTCTTAATTGATTGTCAGTAATTCTCATGACAAAACATGTGGTTACATCTTGATTTATGAATCAATGTCATATGCAATATCTAAATCTTTTTACACATCGTTTACAATTCACATTTTCAATTTATTTATGACTTAATGCAAAAATCCGACATGAATGTTTAGAGTGATGACGAACAGGTTACTCGACGCCGAAATTAAGCATAATGATTTCAATATTATGTATGAAAACATCATCCACCTTGATGCCATGAGGATAATGACGTAATCAAAGATCATGATGACATGTGTGAAGACGAAACCTCTATGTCATGGTGATGACAACCAAGGTTCAACACTAGCAAACTGTAGTGATATTGACAAGGGATCGAAACATCAAATGATCATGATCAAGGACCATGACAACACCACTTAAATACATTTGATTTGATCATCTTGTATGTTCTTTATCACTATTTCTTTATGTTTCCTACATATCTATGAAATATGCTATTCTTAGAAATAGTGATAATTTTAACAAAATATTTCAAATGCTTACGATAAGTCACTAACTAAGTCGTCAAAAGAATCACTACTAAAATTCGGTCAAATTACGATCTTTTTTTACGACCGTCATTAAAACGGTCGCAAAATATAATATTTGCGACCGTTTTTAAGGCTCTTGTAGATTTGCGACCGTTTTTAAGGCGGTCGCAGATTTGTGGCCATTTTTAGGCTATTTAACAATCGCAAAAGTATTTAAAAATTTCTTTAAAATAATATACATGTTAAAAATAATTCTAAATAAAAACAATTCTATTACGATCGTCAAAACGGTCGCAAATTGTGACCATTACAACTGCTGTAGAAACGGTCGCATTTTGCGACAGCAAAACACGGTCGCAAATTGCGACTATTACGACCGTTATAGAAACGGTCACAATTTACGACCGCCAAAAACGGTCGCAAATTGCGACAAGTACGACCGTTATAGAAACGATCGCAATTTGTGACCATTTGCGACCGCTAAGAGCGGTCGTAATAAAGTTATGATTTTTTAATAAAATGGAGTATAAACGTGGTGCATAACCCACCCTAACCCTATTCTTTGTTGGAAGCAGTTGTTTTTCTCACCCCAAACCTATCTTTTTCTCTCTCCTCATTTTCTCCATCTTCTCTTTCCTTCTCCCTTCTCACGCCCTCCTTTCTCTTCATCTCCTCTTTCTTTCTCATCTCTTCATCTCCTTTCTTCATTAAGCCACCACGACCTTCAACCACGTCACCACCACGGTCTCTACCGTTGCAATCACGAGCCCACCACCATGATCTCCACCTTCATAATCTTATGGTTGAACATGTCACAATTTTTAAGCTCAAATTGGACCATGAAAAAGCCTAGATCTAGACTTTTTATGGTCCAATTTGGCCTTCTAAACCAATTTTGAGATGAAATTCGAAGTCTATTTGGGGTTTAAAGTATGTTATCGTGTTTATACTTATTTGTTTGTTTTTTTTTTTTTTGAATTTGTTTTGTATTTCTTGTTCAAATTTCCATGAATGTTGATTTTTTTTGTTTGATTTTTGTTCATTTTTGGATTGATTTTTGAATTCGTTTTTTTTTTTTAAAAAATTTTTGGGTTTGATATATTTTATGTTTGGGTTTGATTTTCATTTTGAATTTGGGTTTGTTTTGTGGTTCCTTTTTGGTGACTAATTTTGTGGATTTATTTTTGTGGGTTATATTTTTTATGGGTTTAATTTTATGGTAATTTTGGTTTAATTTTGTGGGTTGTATTTTTTTATGGGTTTAATTTTCTGGTAATTTGGGTTTAAATTGTGGGATTAGTTTTCTGGTGGTTTTTGGATTAAAGTGGTTGGCGGTGGTGGCGGGTTGACGGGGTTTAGTGAAGGCGATTGGCGGTGGTGGCGGGTTGACGGGGTTTAGGGAAGGCAATTGGCGGTGGTGGTGGGTAAAGGGGGTTTAGGGTATGATTGTGTGTATGTTTGCTGGGTTTCGATGGGTGGTACAAGTGGTTGAGGCGTGAGGGTGTTGCTGCCTGCTGGATCTGCTAGGTGTTTCGACTTTTTTTTTTTTTTTTTTTTTTAATTTTTTAGCGATCGCCTTAAGCCATCACAAATGGTAAATTTTGCGACCGCTGCTATTCCAGTCGTAAATCATAATATTTGCGACCGTTGTTAAAACGGTCGTTGAAAATAATGGAAACGACCGCAATAAAATTGCGACCGCCAAGTGGTCGTAATTTTGACTTTTTGCGACCAAGTAAATAACGACCACCCCTTTATGACCGTTGACGGTCACAATCATTCTTAGCGACCGTTTTTGTTTTTGTTGCGATTGTTAAAGGCGGTCGCAATTTGGCCAAATTTTAGTAGTGAATATCCATTGCTTTATCCTATATTTTGCAGAATGCAATGAACGACGGTGTCAAAGGAAAAAAAAAAGTTCATGACCAAAGCTCCAAACAACGGTTACTGACAAAGGTGTCCCAAAAAGGGATGAGAAAAACTTCCGCTCAAAAGAACATCGTAGCAAACGAATCCCGGGAAAAATAGGCCCTAGTTTCAGACGCCAAACACCCGGTACCTGAACTACCAATTTAATCCTCTGTGTTCAGCGTCAGATGCCAGGGCGCAAGGGGTATTGGCGCACAATGCAATGATGGCCATACAATGATAGTATAACTTTTTTCAAAGTTATTCTTCAAAAGTACACCGAAAGGATTGGTCGTAATGATTGATCATATTAACAAATGAAACACCGCAAAGCGAGCAAGTCCTTAAGTACATATAGTGTCTTATGTCTACAAAGTGTCATAAGCATGTAGAATATCATTAGTGTTGATAAAAATCATTTTAGAAAAACATTCTTTTGTTCATTTGCATGTCTTCAACATATTATCCATGAACCATTTATTTTTTGTTCTCTAATTTAATTTGGTATTGTCATGCATCGGTAACATAGACACATGATGCCCAATATCGGTAGCTCTGGAACTACATCAGAGTTTACCTTCCGATACAAAGTCATGCAATGATTATATTTTCTCACAAGTCTTTGTTCTCAACGATGTTACAAAAGTTATCACATACGATAAATATTTTGTG